GTCTTTGATTTGTATTTAAAGAATTTTCATTGGTTATTTCTGTAAAAAGCCGTTTCAACTTTTGTCTCTTAAATGAATCAGATGCTTCAGCATTTAATTTTCTCCTCAAAAGATAAATTATATAAGTAGGAAGTTATTTGCCTACAGATTTATAAAATTTACACATGAACATTATTACTTCAAATGTTATTATAGTGGATATTTGTATTTGAAATAAAACACCCCATTTTTATTTTTACTTTAAACTTTGTGTATTACATCTATTGGGCTGGACATTGTATATATCATGATTTTTCTCTGTAGCTTTAAGTACATGTTTACAGAAATATGCTGTAATTATTATATTTTTTGTTTACTGGAGATCAGTAGCATATTTGGGAAGATAAATATCATAATGTTCTATTATAAAGTTTTGTATACTGTAATTAAAAATATTTTGCTTGAAATGTTTTAACTATTTTGTAGTGTACGTGTGTTACCACATCATCAGAATACCGGTGGATTTTTCATTGCTGTTATGATTAAAAAGCAGCAGTTACCTTGGTTAAAAATGGATGACCCAATTCATAATGGTAAGTTGTCAAGAGGATATAGAAATTTTATTGGCATAGCAGTTAGTGGGAGTGGAATAGGATACAGTTAGTTAAAACACATAGCTATTGTTTTATTCCCCCCCCACTCCCATCACCAACATTTGCTGTGTTACTATATATGTAATCATTAGAGGAAATGAAAAGTTTGTTTTAAAAAATCCTGCTCACAATGTCACAAGTTAAACAGCTAGCGAGCTTAAGCTATATAAATGTGTTGACAATAGTCTAAAAGTAAGATCTACAAAGTGGCAGTCCACTGTCCAGAAGGAGACTGAAGGGAAGTGAAATAGATAAATAAAAACCTTTGAGATCAAGTGCCACTTGGCCAGAAGTTAGAAAGCTTCCTATTGCAAGCATAGATAAGTAGTCAGTTAGAATGATCAGTAGTTGCAAATCATCTGTTGGCAAATTGTGAGCCATGTGTTGTGATAAATGGCATGTAGAGAGGTGTTAGGAGAGTCGGAATTCCTGCTAAGTTGTCAGAGGACAAGTAACTGATGATGTTCACTTATCTAAGCTCCATACCATGGTAAGTGAATCCATGAATAAATAACCAAATATATTGAAAACAGGATGTTTTTTTTTCATTTTACACTGGAAATATTTCCTTTGTGAATGTGCATTGGACTTTTCCCAGTTTTTATATATATTGATGCAAAATTGAATCTAAACACAGCATTGAGTGATTTTTATCTAGACTGAGCAAGGGTTGCAGTGTATGTTTACAAATATATGTTTGCATAAATATTTTCATTCACTTTAACAATTACATGTATAGTAATTTGGAAAGGTTTGGTGATGGAGTGGGGGGGGGACCAATTATTTTTACTCTGATTATATCTTAACCCAGTCGCCATAAATTTTGGAGGCTTATTGCATCCCACTTGGACTGCTATATCAGTGTTTTCTTGTTTTTTTTTCTCTTTCATTCTCTCTCTTTTTTTCTCTTTCATTCTCTCTCTTTTTTTCTCTTTCATTCTCTCTTTTTTCTCTTTCATTCTCTCTCTTTTTTCTCTTTCATTTCTCTTTTTTCTCTTTCATTCTCTCTCTTTTTTCTCTTTCATTCTCTCTTTTTTTCTCTTTCATTCTCTCTCTTTTTTCTCTTTCATTCTCTCTCTTTTTCTCTTTTTCTCTTTTTTTTTTTCTCTCTTTTTTTTTCATTCTCTCTTTTTTTCTTTCTCTCTTTTTTCTCTTTCATTCTCTCTTCTTTTTTTCTTTCATTCTCTCTCTTTTTTTCTCTTTCATTCTCTCTCTTTTTTTTCATTCTCTTTTTTTTCTTTCATTCTCTCTCTTTTTTTCTTTCATTCTCTCTCTTTTTTTTCTTTCATTCTCTTTTTTTTCTTTCTTTCATTCTCTTTTTTTCTTTCATTCTCTTTTTTTCTTTCATTCTTTTTTTTTTTTCTTTCATTCTTCTTTTTTTTCTTTCATTCTCTCTCTTTTTTCTCTTTCTCTCTTTTTTTTCTCTTTCATTCTCTCTTTTTTTTTCTCTTTCATTCTCTCTTTTTTTTTCTCTTTCATTCTCTCTCTTTTTTTTTCTTTCATTCTCTCTCTTTTTTTCTCTTTCATTCTCTCTCTTTTTTTCTCTTTCATTCTCTCTCTTTTTTTCTCTTTCATTCTCTCTCTTTTTTTCTCTTTCATTCTCTCTCTTTTTTCTCTTTTTTTTTTTTTCTCTTTCATTCTCTCTCTTTTTTTCTCTTTCATTCTCTCTTTTTCTCTTTCATTCTCTCTCTTTTTTCTCTTTCATTCATTCTCTCTTTTTTTCTCTTTCATTTCTCTCTTTTTTTTTCTCTTTTTTCTTTCTCTTTCTCTCTCTTTTTTCTCTCTCTTTTTTCTCTTTCATTCTCTCTTTTTTCTCTTTCATTCTCTCTCTTTCATTCTCTCTCTTTTTTCTCTTTCATTTCTTCTTTTTTTCTCTTTTTTTTTTTTTTTTTCTCTTTCATTCTCTCTCTTTTTTTTCTCTTTCATTTCTCTCTTTTTTTCTTTCATTCTCTCTCTTTTTTTCTTTCATTCTCTCTTTTTTCTCTTTCATTTCTCTCTTTTTTCTCTTTTTCTCTTTTTTCTCTCGTTTTTTCTTTCTTTCTGTTTTTCTCTTTTATTTTCTCTCTTTTTTTCTTTCTTTCTGTTTTTCTCTTTTATTTTCTCTCTTTTTTTCTTTCATTCTCTCTCTTTTTCTCTTTCATTCTTCTCTTTTTTTCTCTTTCATTCTCTCTCTTTTTTCTCTTTCATTTCTCTCTTTTTTCATTTCTCTCTTTTTTTCTCTTTCATTCTCTTTTTTCTCTTTCATTTCTCTCTTTTTTTCTTTCATTCTCTCTCTTTTTTTCTTTCATTCTCTCTCTTTTTTCTCTTTCATTCTTCTCTTTCTTTTTTCTCTCTTTTTTTTCTCTCTTTTTTCTCTTTCATTCTCTCTCTTTTTTTCTCTTTCATTCTCTCTCTTTTTTTCTCTTTCATTCTCTCTCTTTTTTTCTCTTTCATTCTCTCTCTTTTTTTCTCTTTCATTCTCTCTCTTTTTTCTCTTTCATTCTCTCTCTTTTTTTCTCTTTCATTCTCTCTCATTCTTTTTTCTCTTTCATTTTCTCTTTTTTTCTCTTTCATTCTCTTCTTTTTTCTCTTTTTTTCTCTTTTTTCTCTTTCATTCAACTAAATAATTAACCACAGAAAAAATTGATTAACCATGGAATTTTTCCCACTATTTTTATTAAAAATAATTTTGAGCAAGTTCCAGCATTCTTTCTTGTGCATTGAAAGTCAAAATAAAGTGACTGTTAATAACTGTAATTAAGGCAAGCATTATTGACTAATCATCAGTTATTACTGTATGATAATTTACACTTTAAATCTTCTTTGTGCATTAATGCAAACCTGTAGTATTGTTTTCATATGCACATACAGATAGCAAACACTACATATTATTTTATGCCTTTTGCACCTGTCAACGCAGTACACTAAGAGTTGTTGGAGGTGGGCTAATTGAAGAAGTCAGGGATTGTCCCATACATCTTCAATGGGTGATAGGCGATCATGCCAGCCAGGGTTAGGAATTTTCCTTTGACCACTTTTACCAACATCAAAGTACTATGGATGCATAATGTCCAACATGCACAGAAATTTTCTAAAATGACCATCCAGCCTCTGAAAGTCCTCCAATCTTGCCATCCTCTCAAATGACTCTAAGTAAATAAAAGAAGCCCGCACATATATATATGTGTGTGCGTGCGTGCATGCCTGTCTTTTAGGATGACATCAGCTTCCAATAGAGCATTCATTATTATCTAAAGATCAGGTGTCGAAAGGACAGTTTTTCTCACAACGACACTTTTTTTAACTACCTTCACTCTTTGGCAATGCTTGTTTTAAAAAGCAATGATTAGAATTTGTATAAAACTTAAACAAATGATGGAAGTGAATTTATACTTTTTTTTGTTGCTGTTCTTGAGTATTTACAACAATATTTAATGCTATTTATTTGTTTATTTACAACACTCTAAAAAATAATACAATTAGAATTAATGCAATGCAATATTTCTCATTTACCAATTAAAGGAATAAATGTAAAAAGATTTTTTATTTATGAAAATTTACTAAATTCTTAAAATATGTGAACCAATTATAAGGAAATCCTTATTTACTTTCTTATAAAGTTTGAATCAATTGGCAATTAGCCAATATTTTGCACACCATTCCAATAAATAGTCTAAATAAACAATCTAAAAATGTTTATTATTTTTGTTGTCAATTCTCAAGAACAAAGAAATGTATAAATTCACTTTCATATGTTTGTTTTATTACAATTATAATCATCACTTTTTAAAACAATATTGCCAAAGAGTGAAGGTAAATAATTAAAAAAAAAAAAAAAAAAAAGCAGTGTCATGGGAAAATCTGTCTTTTTGACACTCTGTCTTACTGTGGGGACATTTATCTATGCTATATTTTAAAAAAAAATGTAATTGTTTTACAAATAGGTTATTGATTTCACAGTATTTTTTCCATGTATATCTGGTTTTCTATTATCTGTGGATTTCACCTTCTTCAGAAAATCTTCAAACTTATCACACATGGCTAATAAGGTCCTACTCTATATGTTTACACATTGTATTTTATATATTTACTTTCATTCCATAGTTTTTGATTTCTAAAAGTATTATTTGTTTTAGCACTATTCAAGCATTGCTCTGAATTCAGATAAAATTTAAATGACTGATAGAATAATTTCTGTGTTTTCTATAAAAATTACAAATTCATTATCAATTCTATTTCTATCCAGTTTTCATTCTGGAACTTTTGTGAATAACTTTTCTTAGCTTTATTTTGCAATAATTAAAATTTCTTCATTATAAAAGAGGAGGACTATTTTTATTCTAATGTCAGAATCTTATGACTGTTGTTGTTACCATTTTGTTATGAGTAATGTTTATTCTAAACTCAGATCTACTGAAAAGAATTGATGATACTGCACCCAAACCGAAGGATGAAAAACCACAGAATGAAAGTGAAGAAAAATCCAAAGAGACAGCTGAAAAGAAAGCAGAAGAAACAGCTGAAGAAAAATCTGAAAAGACAGTTGAAGAAAAGCCAAAAGAAACTTGTGAAGAAACATCTAAAAAGACAGCTGAAAAACCACCAGAAGAAACACTTGAAAAACCTAAATCAGAAGAGAATAAAAATGCAACTGGCATGGAAGATGAAAACTCCTCTAAAGGCAAACGAAAAGGAGAAAATGAGGATGACAAGTAAGACTCAGAAGTTTACTTTTTTGTTTATCTATCTTGATTACCTGGATATGCTGATAGCCTAATGGTTAACAGCATGGAAAGTGGAATTGATGATTTGAGTTCAAGTCCCAGCCTAATCTGTAATATTCACTTTGCACTAATAGCCTTAGGAAAGGCATGAATCTATTTCTTCTCCACACTTTAAATGTGATCTACATAGTAAGCTAGACTGAGACCTTTAGCTTTACAGCTTTGAATTCCAAACCAGGGAGGAGGTGATGGGAAACCGCTCTACCATCTTTACCAACAGGTTGTGGCAATTCACTGATAATAAAGAAAAAGGGATCTGTGGAGAGCCATTATCATGTATGTCCTAAATAAAAAAATATTCTTAATTATTTAAAATTAGGTATCTTCTCACACCTTTTAATTTTAAAGGTATTGCAATAATTTAAAAATCTTGAAAGTTTAATTTTGGTTTTAGTTGTGAAAATATAATATAAAATCTTTTGTAAAACTAAGAAAATCTTGCAATTAAAGGTTTTATACTTTTTAATTCAATATTTTGTCATGTCATTGGCTTGCACTTTGTAAAATCAAGATTAACACTTGAAAGAAGATATTTAATTATATTACATTTTAAGAAAGGTCCATGAGGATATGTATAGAATGTTATATATTTTAAATATTTGTTACCTTTAGTGGTCAAAAGGAAACGCTCATGAAGTGTTAAATTGTGTCAAGTGACACACATTGTTCTGCAGGAAATTCTTTTATTTGATCAAAAAAGTTTTGATATTCCAATTTGGATGAAGGTTCTGATTTTGTAATTAATTTGCATAGCATTTTATTTACAGAACTAATGTAGATTCTCATAAAACCAACTTATATGTATTTCAGCTGTTTTCTCTCTTAAATGTCATGATACATATTTTGTTCAATTAACAATTTGTATTACGTAATGTTTAAGAAGCCTTATATCTCCATTTCCTAAATAACAGACTTAACTTGTACATAGTATTTAGAATTCTTTGTTATTCATTGTTATTAATCTGCTGAATCATAGGACATGATCACTTTGAAGAAATATGTAAAATAGGGGTCCCTAAACATATTAGACCATTGATCCCTTTATGGAATCCTTGATCTTTCCTTGACCATCAGACATATATATTCATTGTTTTTTTTTTTTGTTTTGTTTTTTTTTGTTTTGTTTTGTTTGTTTTTTTTATGGGAAGAAACTCCTTTACCAGTTTCCTTCATTATTGTTTTCATAATAAGATTCATTTTAGCATTATTTTTATTCTATTTCTTTTTTACTAGAGACGTTTGTTCAAATAACTTCATAAATTATATAGGTAATAATAAAAACATTAAAAATAAATGAATGTACCTTTTTATTGACTTGGTTGACATCATTAATGGAAAGAAAGCATTTGATGATCAGTAATAAGGGCATTAATATTTGATTAGAAACTGGTTAGTTTTAATCATAAGCCACCATGATTCATTTATTGACCCTCTTTTGAACCTCCATACTTTGTAGTAAACCACCTGCATTATTTCCTTTGTATTCCATTGGTGAGATATAAGTGCCACTTAAGCAGATTCTTCTCATGAACTACTGCTTTGTGGAAACGACTCCTAATAGGATGCTTCCCTAATCATTATAATTTTAACCTGTTCAAGTCTAGGATTAACTGCTATTTTCCCCACATATCTGCATGAACTCTGTAACCCTCTAACTTTTGTGACTCTTTCCTTGTACAAGGTGAACATTAATGTTATAAAAACAAAAACAGGCATATCTGAACTACCTTGATAGTCCCATTGACCCCCCCCAAAAGGAGTTGAAACTGATAACTTTGGGAAAATGTTAATGAAAAAAAGGTGCAGCCATTACATTCACCCTATTTCTTCACTGAATACTATCTTTCAATGACTTTATTGACTCTGAAATTCCTATAGTTGCTCTTGCCAGTTTACTAGGCTAATTAGATGCTGAAGAATTGTATCTGATAATAGGTGGTTCAGGTTTGGTGGGTCAACGTTGATTCATTAACATTTTTTTTTAAATGTCTACATTTTTATTCGTCTCTTATTAGAAGAGAAAAATGTTTAGTTTTTTAACATTATTTGAATTTATTATCAAATGAAGCATTGTCAATTACTTATAAATTTTTTTTTAATATTTCTTTCATTCTGTTGTTTTTTATCACAACCCACAGACTGTCCTTTTATGGTCATTTGTAAGCAGCACAGATGAGGAAAAAAAGTAAACCTTTGAGATTTGGATCTATATTTAGGTGTACATAGTGTAGCGGTTATCTGCAAAGCCAAGCTAATTGCATTCACTTTTGGGCAAATACTTTGAAAAAAAGGTATAAGTCAATTTCTCTCCCCCAGCTACAGGCTAAATAGTATGGCAGATTGGCCTCTCTAGCTTGTCTGGTAACCACTTTGTGTAAATTTGTCTTGGAATGAGATAAATCTGAATTCAAAACCAGTTGGATGTGAGACTGGTAACTTGACTCAATAAAAAGCCTACTTGCTATGGAAAACCACACTGGCAACACCCAGTGTGGTGTGAGGCTATGGCCTTGTTTTACATTGAGAGATCAATTTACATAGCAAACTGAAACCACTTCTTCAAATTCAGGAAGTTTTTTTCTTTAAAATTTGGATATGTTATCTGGAGTGCTTATATGAAAAACATTTTGGGAAAAAAATTATTTCTTGGAGAGATGTGTTTCTGTAGGTATGCATAAATTTCTCAGGTTTTAATTCAGAAAGATTTTCTAAGGTGTATATTTTCAGGAGAATTATACTCTATATATTTTCTGTTCTTCAGCAATCAACTGAGCAAAAAGAAAGCTAGAACCTTTGGATACAAAGAAGACCCTTTCCTTTTCCTTAAAAGAACAGATGAAGTATGGCCACCTATCCAGTAAGTTTTCTTTGCCTTATTATTGAAGCAAACAAAAAATTTATTTATATATATATATATATATATATTGGTAAATGATGAAAGCAAATTATTTCAACAAAAAAGTGGTTATTCTTTTGAAAAATTTGGGTGCATCAAAAGTATTTTCATTTTGTTCTAACCTTTATGCTTTTTGAAATTTATGTAATGCTCTACATAATATCTGTTAATGATGGCGAATTTATTTTAAAGTTTTATGAGGGCTAATGGTCAGCTTCTAACTTGCATTTTATAGCATCACAAATGACAATTGATAGTCATCCACTTTTGGGATTTATTTCAAGAGACAAGTCACCACCTTAAAAAAAACAAAAGTTTTGGGTAGTAGAGTTAGGTATCATTTAATTTTTTCCATTTCCCGATTACTGTGACCAGTTTCAGAGACTCTGAGGTCCTGCTTAAAATAATGTCTAAAAATTACCAGAATCTCAATCCTTAAAGTTACAGTTGAATAGTATTTATCATGAAAATATTTATAGAATAAGGGAGGGCTACATTACAGCAGTGGAGAAAATGACTGAAGCTGAGATGCCAGGCCAATAACGTTGCCGATTCTTTGGATTTTGTCAAGAATGTCTAGACGCATGGCTGAAGGACCAAACCAGATGTGGCAGCAATATATTTGATACATGGACAAATAATAAACTTAAAAATGTGCAAGGTAAATTCTCTTGAGATTAATTGTTTACCATAAGTTAATGAAATTATTTTCGTAGTAGCATATATAGTAGTTGTAAATAGTTTTTAGGTGTGTATATGAAATAAACTTTCAAATAAAGTTTTGTAAAGGAAATAAATAAAAATGCTTGTGTAAAACAACAATCTGTGATCATCTAGTGGCTTTTTGGCACCCACATAGCCAATTGGACTGTAATTGATTTTATCTGGGCCTGAAGCAACTTGTGTTTTATAACTGCCAGTAAAATTGAGATGTGAGAACTTCAAAGTAACCACTTGTGATCCACATATAGAGAAAAAGGAAAAATTAAATAAATAAAAGAACTTTTGAGATCATGTGCGAGTCGGACGGAATTCAGTTATGGGCTCATATAAGCTAAAAACTGTAAATACCCATCAAGACAGTCTTATCAGCTTTATATTTCCTATATAAAAAAAAAAATGTGATACATGTTTGCACATGTTTGAGGTTTGTGTGCATGTTTTATGAGACTAATATTTTCTTAGTCTTTTCTCTCATATATCTCTTTCTCTCTCAACTAACAGAACAAATATGACCAGCCATAAACATTAAGAGGAAAAGAATTTAGATCCTTTTGAAAATATTATGATCAAAAATTATAACTCAGTTTGTCAATTTTACAAAAAGTGCAGGTGGTATAATAGTATAAGTAAACCTGTACTTAAAAATTTAATGTTTTAATGCTTCATCGCACATCAATGCTTCTGGTAGACAATTATCATTTGAAGAGGGTGGTTTTTTTTGGGGGGTTTAACATTCAGGAAAAAAAATTTAACAAGAATTAAAATCAACTTTTGGGGTCTTCTGACATCACAATGAGGAAAAATTATCTTTATATGACATCAAAATTTGTTATTTGGTGTAATATATTTATTAGTAAATTGTATCAAAAGTATTTTCTTCATTATTTACCTTATAATATACTTATAAAAAGTACATATGATATATATATATATATATATATATATATATATATATATATATATATATATATATATATATATATAAGAAAAACGAAACTACAAACGACACTACACACTAAAATCACCGACACCCACAACTATCTACACTTTAAGTCTTCCTACCTAAACACCTCAAAGAGAACCTTCCCTATTCACAAGCACTTAGACTCAGAAGGATATGTTCCAACAATGAAGAATTAAATAAACACATTGAAAATCTGGAGCATCAATTCACAACACGTGGCTATAAACAACACCTAATCAGGGAACAAATAAATAAAGCAATTTCTACACCTAGAGAAGGCACCCTAATATACAAGATTAAAAATAAATCTAACCGCATCCCTCTAGTAACCACTTTCAATCCCACTCTGCCTCCACTATCCCAAATAATCAAACGTCGCTGGGAAATACTACATCTCAAACCAGACCTAAAAAAAACTGCTTAAGGAACCCGGCCTTCTTGCATATCGTAGACCTAAGAACCTAAAAAGAAATCATAGGTAGTAACCACATTTCAGGGGACAAGGTAATCCGTAAGGAACTGAGAACAAAAACAACAGGATTTTCCCAACCGTGTAACAACAAAAGAAGTTTATGTTGCAACCATATTAAAAACACGAATTCATTCACTAGCTCAATCACTAAATCTACTTTCAAAATCTACCACGATTCTAACTGTAGAAGTCAAAACATAATTTACCTCCTAGAATGCACACTATGCCAGAAACAATATGTAGGAAAATCTGAATGGCCGTTTAACTACAGAATTAATAATTATCGTAAGCAAATTAAATCGACTCCCTATGAACAGTTATTACCTGTAGAACAACATTTCCGCCTAGAAAAACACGATTTCAAAACCCATGCCAGATTCACTATAATTGAGAGAATAGAAAAGTTCAGAGCAGATAACATTAGAAAGATTTTAGAGTCACATGAAAATAAGTGGATACAATGTCTAAAAACATAATACCCAGCCAGGCTAAATCATAAATTTAACAATATATAATAGTAACAATCAACAAATCAAAACCTACCCACATTTCTCACCCACACAAGACAGACATGCTTACGGAGGAATGGAGGCCTCACACTTATACACTCACCCACACGATTATACACACGTACACACACCATACTCACTCACTCCCTAATGAGCCAAATGATAACACACACCTACAGCAATACACACGCTTACACATATCATACTCACTCACTCCCTAAGAACCAAATAACACACACACAAACACTAAACAGAGACACATCCCCTCACCAGGTCCAATAAAACTGTCAAACTGGCCAGAGAATTCAGGATAAAATGTATCTATCCAGTTCTTATCTCAAATAACAACTTAAAAAGAGACTGTTTGACCAATACAAGGAATGTTAAAAGATTCATGTGAAAAAAGATAAAAAATAAAAAAACAAATGAAAACTACAGACAAAAAGTTCATTTTCTCCAACAAAAGACATTCATTACTGTAGTTCACTGCCAACAGCAAGCAGAAATATTTATCCTCCCGATGATGGCCATTTCGGTCGAAAAAACTAGTCGAGGAATCTAAATGGAATAATAATAATAAAAAAACGAATATTAATCTACAACCCAGTGTGTCTAATGATTTTAATTTTTTATTTTCTTATTGTTCAAAATATATATATATATATACACACACACCAATTTTCTACTGTAAGGATTCGGGGCAAATGGTACTTAAATATTCATTTCAGCCTACAGATAACTTCTAGTGGCAAGTGTGAAGCCTTTCAGATTCATTTGTTATATCAATCTAATTGGGCTTGAAGTAAGTAAAGTTGAATTGAAAAAGGTTGGGGATTTACTTAGTTGTGAACAGTTCAATACTCTGATAGTTTCATTGGCCATCTGCAGCCTCGTTGGGGTGGGGATTTCATGTCTCAACAGATGGAGGATTCCCTCTCTTGTTGCATGAGCATCTTAAGCAATTTTGCATTCCTATTTAAAATAATGCATCAAAATGGCCAGTTGTCTTCACCATTATAACATTTGAAACAAATACTACAATTGAAGAGTATTGCTGATAATTTATTTATTTATTTTTATATAAAACTGTTTTATGCAGACAAGGTATATATTATCAAATAAAATGGTTATATTTTTTAAAAGTGCTCAATACACAGTTCAAAAAATTGAAAATGTAGGGCTATTTAATATTTAAAATATAAACACCAACCATTTCCACTACTGTGGTTTTCACCAATAAAGGTTTCTTCAGGCAGTGAAAAGGTTCACTAGAAACCATGTTAGCAGAATAGGTAGATATTCTAAATCTATAGAAGTAATTTGCTTTGGATTAAAGGTCTGTTAAAAAAAAAAAAATACTTTTGTATACTAATATTTCCTTGTTGTTGATGCAAAGATTCGACTTACTAATTATTATTTTTTTTTTTTTTTTATTTTTTTTAGAAACTTTTTCAAAATTTCTGATGAATTTCCAGCTGAACAGTTGATGTACCGCAGTGAAACTGGCAAAAAGCGTACTTTGTACTTTGTTTCCAAAGCCGTACTTCAGGTGGTTAAGCATAACTCTGAAAGAATCAAGGTAAGAATATTTCAAATGAAAGCCCTTTTTACCCTTCTATTGGCTTAAAAAGTTTGTTTGAATTATAACATGAAAATAAGAATCTTTTATTATAGTTGGGGTACTGATATATAAATATAATCTGTTCCAAGGCCTCATTTGTTAACCAAATTGTTTGTTATATAAATAATTGGAATACATATAAATAGGACTGATAAGTTCCCACCTCTATATAAGATTATACAAAAAAATGAAAAAGCACAAATAGTAAATATATAGATAGATAAATAAATACAGAAATAAATTGAAGTAAGACAATTTGGAACTGTAGTATCATTTTCACTGGGAACATTTGCTCTATGGTCGCCAAACAACTGTTTGGATTTTGCATCACTTATCACACTCACATTATCACTAACAATGTTTTTCTTCAATTCACACAAAATGGGATGTGCAGAGTAATAGATAGAGACTTGGAATAAGAAATTGAAGAAACAAGTTTGTCTGGTTCGTTACATTCACTGTTGTGCAAATGCCTTTGGGAAAGGTATGAATCTATCTATATGGAAAAATCATTATTCTCAAAAAAAATTACTAGAATATTATACACATGCACACACCAAAAAAAATTATTCTTAAAATGTTTCAGCTTTTAAATAACATACAAAAGGTTCATAAATTGTAAGAAATCAAACCAATTAGTCACATGAAAAGTAAACTTTTCATCTCTTCATTAAGACTGTCGAGATTTACTAGGTTCAGTGATTCCCTTAGCCAATTAAACACTTCAATTCATCTATTTTTTTTATTTTTTTTTTTTTTTTTTATTCTGGTGCATATTATTGATTTCAGTGTTCCATACTCTTCTTAGTTTGTCAACACTTGTTACACTTTCATGTTTAAACATTCTTTATTTAATTTTTCTCAATTGATTTCACATGCTTCTGTTTAGTTTACAGTAAAAAAAAAAATCAAAAAAAATTTTTAAATATTATTTTCAACAGAAAATGAGAATTTTCAAATGATATTCACAACTACATGAATATAGAATGGAGAGTAAGCCAGCATTGAGAACACTCCTAACCAAATATATATAATATATATATATATATATATATATATATATATATATATATATATATATATTAGTTTGAAGGGATGCAGGTCCCCTATCTTCCTGGAGAAAACAGTGAAGAGGCTGGCTTCTCATCTATACAAAGGTTTGAGCAAGTCTGACTTGAAAATTGGGATCAACTGCATGCTGCTCCTCTTAATGATAGCCACTGTGGCTTCATCGCATGCAGTAAAACAGGCCTTGCTATCCACTCACAGAAACATATGACAATTGATCCTCAACTACTCAAACAAAATGGCCCAACCCCATGTTCCATCTGTCTAAAAGTTTGCAAACCACCTATAGGCCTTGGGAGACATGTGCATGTCCATAAAAGTTGAACCCATCTTTATTTTACTGAGCCCTTATTTGTCATCCATGATGAGTCTACCATATATATAGTCTACTTGTAGTTCGTCGATCAAATTTCACATGTTAAATTAATTTAATTTTCCTCAGATAAACCATTTGTTATTCAATTTGTTTAGCAAATACCACTGTATTTAAAAAATTAATTTTATCTAACAACAAATTGACTATTTTGTTCCAGCTTCTGAGGCAACTTCATAATTCTATCCTCCCAGAACATTTTATCTTTCTTGACCGAGAACTACTCTAGGTACCTTTTTGCATTTTTCTAAGAAATTATATAATTTTATATAAGGAATTTGAGCATTCACTGATTTCAGTCCCTGCAGAAGTTCACGACACTAATCCCTTCCAGATAGCTAGGGATGAGTATATTTTTAATGCTTCCTTTGCTGTGGACATTCTTATATATCTTCACAAAACTTACATTATCTGCTCTTGATGTAGACATACATTTCTAAGATACAATGGAATATCAGTGTTTGTGCTATAAACTAAATAGGGCATAGTGCTATTTCCCAACAAGCACAGATATATAATAGTGTACAAACCAACCTGTTAGGGGTGTCATTTAGCTTAGTCTATACAGCAGAGTATTCAAACAAAACCAAAATATTAACTGCCTGAGTGTCAGTCAGTGTCTTTATAATTATTACTTTCCAGTACAATTGATGTTTAGTCCTTTCTTCTAGCTTTCTTTACAACCTGCTGTCAAAGCTCTTGTAGTTTCCTTTCTGAGTCATCTGCATATCTAATATTAAGATTGTGGCTGCCAATAATGAATCCTGGTAGTACTTCTAATTCTCTCAGAATCACCTCACTGTAAAGGTTGAATAAGTCCAGTGAGAGACACATCCTTGTCATACACCCCTATCTATTTTTGTATATTTACTAAATTCATTTTCTATCTGTACACAGACAGTTTGCCCAGAGTATAAGTTCTGGATTTCTCTAATATCCTTCCCAACTATATCAAGCTTACTTAGCAGTTCCAACAGTTTTCTATGATGTACTTTATACTTGCATAACCATTTAATAAATTCACAATCATTTCTCTCTTTATCTGGCAGATGAGTCATCAGTTGCTTTAGGCTTGACTGGATTAGTATAGTTACATTCAGGGAAGATCTCATTGTCCATGTCATTAAAGCAAATAACAATAGGATATTGATTCACTTGAGATAATGGCCGTGAGGTTGTAATATTATTCTCTCTCAGTTCTGGTTGATCAGCAAAGTAAATATCTCACAGCTGAGTAGACTAGTAGGGCAGGATGTTTGCTGATTATGTTACTAGGATGTAGAAGAGAACTAGACCAGCACAAAAAAAAACTAGAGTCTAGAGCATGTAAGAGTTATATTCTCTTTAATAAATGGCTGTTTGGGTCAAGCAATCTCTCAAGAAAGATTTCATCAGTGCTGAATTTGCATGAGAATGGTGGTGCTTTTTATCAGTGAATCATAGCCAATTTGCCACCATGGTTACAGGTATATAAAGACTGACAACATTTCTTTCAGTGTCAGAAGGTCAGTTGATTGGTGCTAACAGTTGGGAGAGCACTGTTTGTTTTGCTACGTAGGATTCAGAGAAGATGTAAATGTAATTATGATGATCAATTGATTTTATTTTGCCAAATCAACACAACAGCATTTAGAATGAAAAGTGAGAGAAGACAAAAGCAGAAAAAGAAATTCAAAGGGTGGATTCAAATATGGAGGCTCCTTGATCGCATACCAGGGTTAAGGGTACACACTGACTCTTTTTAGCAATGGATGAGGTAGCCAGACATTTTAAATGATCTACTATAAAATTGAGTTGTGCACCATGTAAGGTATATGGGTCTTCTGCTCAACATTAAAATGTAACAATGTTACATTGCCATTTTGGAGTAGCCAATAAGTACCTAGTTTTGTCTGTTAAATAAAAAAGGAATATTTGTTACTTAATTTCATTTTTCATTAAATTGATTGTACCAAACTGTACTGTCTCATTGCAGTTTTGTTGTGATATTTTTCCTAATGGAAATTATTGTAGCTTATTAATATCTTTATTTTACTGCACTTGATAAAAAATCTGACTTTTTAATGTCTATGAGAAAAATAATTCAATGTTTTTATATTTTGCTCTAGATTTCATTGGTGACTCTGCTGCATTATCTTTTTCTAGATTATCAATGTTGGTGTGAAAATGTTTGGTCGAAGCCCATCACCAATTGTGCCTGATTGTGACTTCAGGATTAACCAAGAGGTATAAAACAAGAATCATTTTGAAAATGTGCTCTTTCGACTTTCATTCTTTAAATTTCTTTTAATTTTATGTACATTTTTTAATACCCATCTCATTCGACTCTCTTCTCTCCTTTTTTTTTTTTTTTTTTACTGCAAACTAAAATCTCTTTCTGCAAGTTTCATGTACACATTCTTTGTTGTTTAAAACAAAAATTTAGTCTGAATTGAGTTGCATATGATGAATAATAAGAACTAAAAATAACCATGAAACTTTCAAGGTTTTCCTGTTTAAATTTTCTGATGAATTATAAAATTTAATTATTAAATAAATTTCTCACAAGTTCTACTCATGGAAATTCACTTATTGCATTGTTAAATATCTGAGCATAACAACTTTTTAATAAAATATTGCAATAACATTTATAAGTATGAATGCTGGTCATTATTTAAAGAAGTTAGAGAGTACAAATAAAAAGATTTGGAATTGACATGATTTCCCATTTCACTGAAACAGACATTAAACACGTGTGTTATCACCTTCTGTTCTTTTTCTTACTTTTTCTCACTAAAACCAAACATCTCCTCTGATCTGTCTCTGCCATCTTGTGATCAAAATGTAATAGACCATTATTTATCTGAAGTAATGATAGGGGTGTAACATACATGCTAAGGAATGAAGGAACAACCAGAATTAGAAAATATTATCACTAAATTTCTGTTCCATTCTCAATTAACTTCCTGTTGGTCAGGGACAGGAAATATGCCAATTGCATCACTGTGCAGAGAAATAAATTTCCTGTTACAGTCACCACCACAAAAAGGGGTCACCTATTTGCTGGATGTATTTTTACCTTTTTTCTTTTTCTTTTTTTTTTTTTTTCTACTCATTTAAACAAGAACTTAGCCTTTCATGACTTTAGCACAAACCAGAACTGTGTTTGCCTTTTACAACTCTAGTGCAGGCCAAACCTCTGTCTACCTTTTTATTTATCAAAATGACAGTTTGGTATAAATAACCTGGAAAAGGTTGATAATGCCAGAAACCAAATCAATCTTAGCAAGTAAACTGATTTTTTTTTTTTTTTTTTTTTTTCTTTTCTTCATTTCAGGGTTTGGCATGCCTTCACCAATATTTCCCTACACGTCGTGTGGACATTAGTAAGGAAGATGTGATCACACTGCTAAGCCAAGAAAATCCTTACCTCACCAGCCTTGGTGACATAGCTTTCCAACAGCTATCATTAGTAGGTAAGAAACTCATCAGGTGTCTAT